TCCTCCTCCTCCTCCTCCTCCTCCTCCTCCTCCTCCTCCTCTCTCCCCTCCTCTTCTTCTTTTTCTTCTTCCCCTTCTCCTCCCCTCCTCCTCTTCTTTTTCTTCTTCTTTTTCTTCTCCCTCCTCTTCCCTTTCTCCTCCCCCTCCTCTTCTTTTTTCTCTTTTCTTCCTCTTTTACCTTCCCTTTTTCTTTCTTTTTTCATTTTCTTTCCCCTTTTCTTTCCCTTTCCCTCCTCCCCCTTCTCCTCTTCTTTTTCTTTTTCTTTTTCTTCTTGCTTCTTCCTCCTCCCTTTCCCCTCGCCCCTCCTCCTCCGTCAAGCCGCGGGCGCCCGCTTGGGCATCCTCCGTGGTCTCCGCCCGAGCGCGCGCGCGCGCGTGCGTGTGTGTGTGAGAGCCCTTGCCGGGCCCGGCCGCTGGGGGGCGCCTCCCTGCCCCCCCCCTCTCTCTCTCCCCCTCCTCCTCCTCCCCGCCCCTCCCTTCGGCCCGGCTTCCAGCTGTTCCCGCGCGAGATTGACAGCCGGAGGTCGGGTCCGCGATAGGCTCAGCCGCCGGCCCCGCCAGCCCCGTCCCCCTTATAGGCGGGGAGGCGCCAGCCCCCGCCTTGGCGGGCGGGGCCCCGGCTGCCCGCCCTATAAAAGCCAGAATGCGTCCTTCAGCACTTCAGTTGCGCGCGGAGGGGGGAGGCGGCGGGGCCGGTGGCGGCGGCGGCGGAGGGCGCAGCGCCGGGACCCTCGCGCGGAACGGGCCGGGGAGGGGGGGGCCGTCGAGGAAGCCCCCTCCCCTGCAGTGGGGGCCTCGGGCCGCTCCCCGTCCCGTGGGGAGGGGGAGCCCAGCCGGACTAGCCGCCCCCTCCCTCCCTCCCTCCCTCCTTCCTTCCTTTCCTCAGCGGACGGGGCGGGCGGCGGCGGCGGGCTGGCCGTCGTCGGGGCCCCGGGCGCGGCTCTGGCGGCCGTTGCCTCGGCCTGAGATGGCCTCGGAGCTGGCCCTGAGCGGGGCCGCGCTGCCCACCAGCCCGCTGGCCATCGAGTACGTCAACGACTTCGACCTGATGAAGTTCGAGGTGAAGAAGGAGCCGGCCGAGGCGGAGCGCTTCTGCCACCGCCTCCCGCCGCCGGGCTCGCTCTCCTCCACGCCGCTCAGCACCCCCTGCTCCTCCGTGCCCTCCTCGCCCAGCTTCTGCGCGCCCAGCCCCGGCGGCGGCGGCGGACAGCCCGGCCAGGGCCTCCTCGGAGCCCCGACGGCCGGCGGAGGAGGAGGAGCAGGTGGAGGAGGAGGAGGAGGAGGCCACCTGGCGCAGGGCAAAGCGGCGGCCCAGCTGGAGGATCTCTACTGGATGTCGAGCTACCAGCACCACCTCAACCCCGAGGCGCTCAACCTGACCCCCGAGGACGCCGTCGAGGCGCTGATCGGAGCGCCCCATCACCACCACCACGGGCACCACGGCGGGCCAGGAGGAGGAGGAGGAGGAGCCCCCGGCGGCGGCAGCAGCAGCAGCTTCGACGGCTTCCGTGGGCAGCCCTTCCCGGGCGAGGAGCTGGCTCCGGGCGCCCCCGGTCCTCACCCTTCCCTGGGCCACCACCATCACCACCACCATCACCACCACGGGCCGGGGGCCCCCGGCGGGGGCGGCCACCACCACGGCCACGGGCACCACCACGGCCACGGCCACGGGCACCACCACGGGCACCCGGGGCACCTGCACGCGCGGCTGGAGGAGCGCTTCTCCGACGAGCAGCTGGTCTCCATGTCGGTGCGCGAGCTGAACCGGCAGCTGCGCGGCTTCAGCAAGGAGGAGGTGATCCGGCTGAAGCAGAAGCGGCGCACCTTGAAGAACCGCGGCTACGCCCAGTCCTGCCGCTACAAGCGCGTCCAGCAGCGGCACATCCTGGAGAACGAGAAGTGCCAACTGCAAGGCCAGGTGGAGCAGCTCAAGCTGGAGGTGGCGCGCCTGGCCAAGGAGCGCGACCTCTACAAGGAGAAGTACGAGAAGCTGGCCGGGCGCGCCTTCCCCGCCGCCGCCGGCCCCCCCAACGGGGTCCGGGAGCCCCCGCCGCCCCCGCCGCCGCCCCCCGGCCCCGCCAAGCCCGCGGACTTCTTCCTGTGAG